TGGCATAAAAGAAAAATTGATAATTTTGACCCATACAATGTATTTTTGATTATTGCTACAAATATACTCGTGCGACTTATTACTGGTTTTGTGGTCCAGGGTCACAAATGTGGAGGTTGGATTGCCTATTAGCTTTTAAAAATGTCAATTTTAAAGTACACTTCCATTTAAAAGTTTGTGGTCAGTTTTTATGTTTTTGAAAAGAGTCTCTTAAGCTCAACAAGGCTGCATTCATTTGATCAAAAATACAGTAAAAACAGTAATATTGTGAACTATGTCTAAAGTTTAAAAGAATTGTGTTCTATTTGAATATTTTTTTTAAATATAATTTATTCTCTTGATAGTAAAGCTGAATTTTCAGCAGTCTTCAGTGTCACATGATCCTTCAGAAATCATTCTAATGTGTTGATCTGTTGCTCAAAAAACATCGTAATGAAAACAGTAAGTGCTGCTTAATATTTATGTGGAAATAGTGATACATTTTGCGGGATTCTTTGATGAAGTAAAGCATTTACTTGGAAAAAGAAATCTTTTGTAACAAAAAATGAATAAAAGCATTGATTTCTTTTAAGAATAAAAAGTCTTACTGACCCCAGACGTTTGAACGGTAGTGTAAGTAATAACTGGAGTGAAAGTCTTTATTCATTTTGAAATGAAAGTATTGTTTGTTTTTTTGTCACTGGAGCAACACTTATTCTTTTACTGTTTGTAATGGTTCTTTAATTCTATTAAATAAAAACCATTTCAAGTTCTGTGGTTTAGTCTCAGCTCAAGTAAACATCATGAACACAATTTGGATTTTATCAGTTGTTTGGGCAAAAAATAAATGTTAATAAAAATGAAAACGTATAATAATGACTTCCCTAAAAGATTGAGACAGAGAGATTAATTGTTCATTATTATCTTTAATTAAGAATCATGTCAGTTGTAACAAATTGACAAAAATAAAAAGTCATTTTTAGTTAATAACTGGCTAGTTAACTACAAACTCATTTGTAAGTGTATTTAAGGGGCAGGTCTAGAATATTTCTTCCTATTTATCTTCACATGTATTTGTTTAATTTGAATATGAGTTATAGGTAGTGTTGCATAGCATGTTCTTGATGTCAGTTTGTTTTTTGGAATAGCAGTTTTAGGTTTATGAATAAAATAATCTGCTATTTACATACTGAAACAGTTGTCTGATTCATCAAGCATGCAAACTCAATTCCTTGAGGTTGTTCTACTCATTTAGCACAGCAGCTTCAACATACATGTTAGAGGTAAGACTGCAAACAATTAATGCAGAATGTTAACCACAGATGTCATTTGACTTAAAAATCGATAAACTAAAAAAAACAGCCATTGCAAAAAGTGGATGTACTAGTTTCTTGCCTCAAACTAGTATAATAAAAAATGCTTCGGAGTGTATTTGTTTGAAGAACAGACAATAGGTTTGAAATATTTGAAACATTTCAGGTTGTTTTGGTAAGCCGTTTTGTTATAGTATTCATGAGCTTTTCACATCTCTGCAATTCTCACCGTTATTGAGAATGAATATCACAGTCTGTGTGTGGAATGATGGCTTCTGTGAATTTGGCCGCTAACCCAAACAATCAACACTTGAATTTCACAGCGAGCTCCTCCAGCTTGCTCATCAGCTTCTGGTCTTCAGATGGTGAAGACCTGGAGGAGGCCAGAGGCAGATGCGTAGAAACCGCTTTTCTGTCTGCAGATGAATCAGTTTGAGAAACAGAGGTCAAAGTTCAGTTTCATGTTAAAGAGAGATTTAGTCTGCAACGTCAAAGACATGTTATAGATGATGTGTACAGCATACTAAAGCATGCTTTCACATTTTATAAAGATGCTTGACCTTGGAAGAAGAGGCCGCTGGGCTGTCTGCTGGCGGCATCTGATATGGCCAGCCACACCACTGTGTCTGCTCCTTGAGCTTCGGTACGGAGTTTATTCTTCATTTTTGCATGAAAATCTGGCATGGATGACTGCACAGCTGTAGATGAAACAAAAATAGTATCTTTGTGACTGAGACTGCAAGATTCCTGTATCAATCAAGATATTTCCTTGTAGCTGATGTACACTACACACACATGCTGCCCACCTGGGGTGTCTGCCCAGCCTGGGTGCATGGACAAGAAGTGGATTTCTTTGTGCTGAGCTGCCCATTGCTCTGTCATGATCACCTGTTGCCTCTGAGAAAGATCACAGTTAACATTGAATAACTCCAGATTCTTTACTAAAAACATCAAAAACACTACACTAAATAAAAAAAACTGTATAAACATGAGGACAGTAAATCAGGTTACACGAGCATCAAAAAGTTTACCTCAATGACAATTATAACGGTCAATGTACAACCACAATTCCAGAGAAGTTGGGAGGTTTTGTAAAATGCAATAAAATCAAGAATCTGTGATTTGTTAATTCTCTAACTTTTATTTAATTGACAAAAGTACAAAGAAAGGATTTCCAAAGTTTTCACTGACCAACGTAAATGTATTTTGTAAATATGAACAAATTTTGTTTTTGCCGGCTGCAACACATTCCAAAAAAGTTGGGACAGAGGCAAAATAAAAGTGAAACGGTTATAGAATATCCACGTTCAACTGTTTTGAAACACAGTAAGCAGGTGAATTGGTAATAGGTCAAGGTATCATGTTTGGGTATAAAAGGAGCATCTCAGTCTTTGCAAGCAAAGCTGGATCATGGCTCATCACTTTGTGCCATTTTGAATGTGCTTGACCTTTGAGCCCTCAGATGGCACTGCATAAGAAACCGTCGTGCTGCGGTATTAAATATAGCCACATGGGCTCAGGAGTACCTCAGAAAACCACTGTCATTTACCAGTCTGCTGCTGCATCAAGAAATTCAACTTGAATTTCTGTTACTCTAGGTCTAGGAAAAAGCTATACATCAATTATATGCAGCGATACTGCCAGGTTCTCTGGGCCAGAGCTCATCTCAGATAGTCAAAAAGACATTGAAAATGTGTGCTGTACTCAGATGAGTCCACATTTCAATTGTTTCCGGGAAAAATGGATTTCGAGTTCTCAGTCCCAAAGACCAAAGGGGCCATCCAGACTTTCATTAGTGACAGAAGCGAAAGCAAACGTCTGTCATGGTTTGGGGGTGCAGCAGAGCAAACAGCATGGGTGACTGGCTTATGTGCGAAGGTACTATTGACATGGAGGCATATATTGGGATTTTACAGAGATATACTGCCATCAAGATGATGTCTTTCATGGGAAGTCCATGGTTATTAGATCAAGACAATGCCAGCTCTCATTCTGCATGTACTACAACAGCGTGGTTTCATAGAGACAGAGTGAATGTGTTAGACTGATCTGTCTCCAACTGAAAATGTGTGACCAGTCATGAAAAGGAGAATCAGACAACCAATTCTGAAGTCTTGTATCAAGCGAGACTGGACAAAAATTTTGCTTGCAAAACTTTAACAATTAGTATCCTCAATTCACAAACAATGAAACATTGTAATTAAAAGGAAGGTTGATGTGATACAGTGTCAAACGTGCCTCTTTCCCAACTTTTTTGGAATGCGTTGCAGCCATCAAAATCAAAATTTGTTCATATTTTCAAAATACATTTACATCGGTCAGTGAAAACTTTGGAAATCTTTTCTTTGTACTTTTGTCAAATAAATAAAAGTTAAAAAGAATGAACAAATCACAGATTCTTGATTTTATTGCATTTTACAAAATGTCCCAACTTCTCTGGAATTAGGGTTGTAACAAAGGCAGAGGTGATGCTGCTGGAATCTGTGCCACTGTATTGTGCTATTATTTTAACAGTGAATGATGGACTGGATTGGTAACCCACCAAAAGCATAACGGCTACATTTTTGTATGCTTTGTAGTTAATGAATTTTTTTAAGCCAAACAATAATATACATATAAAATAGATGCTGCAGTGCAACGTTTTTACTGATTTAAATTGTGAGTTTATAGTTTGTTTATAGTAGTACCTTGTTCTGTGCATAGGCCATGGTGCCGTCAAAAGAGCCTTTCTCAAACTGAAGGTCCTCTACATTTAACTTCTGAACCAGCATCCCACCAGATGACACAGTGATCTGTAATAAAAAATAAAATAATTCATAAAAATAATTATAAAATAAAATAAACAATCAAAATAAACTAACATACAAAATAATAATAATAAATACAAATAATTTCCTTAATTTCTCTGAAACATTCATTACTAATAAAAAAATTAATAATAATAATAATAATACAGTTTTAATGAAGTTGTTTTAACATTCATAAACTTCATAAACATGTCACTTAAGTCATTCATTTCTGGTAGCATTGTGAGGGTAAATGTGTTTGGAAACAGTTATTAACCATGCATTAGGATGCATTTCTTCACTCACCACTCTGGGATTCTCTGACTTCTTCAGTGTGGGAATCAGAGCTGTTGTCAGTACATACGTCCCTGTAAAACACACAAGATGAGTGAGACGACTAGTCACTCTTATCTCTTCTTATCCCTTGATTTCAAGATGTGGCACTAAAAACATTCTCTACCACAGGGGTGGCCTGTGACCTTTGTAACTCAATAGTATAAAACAGGCAAAACTCAAATACTGCAGTAAAAGCTCATACTTTGTTGTCCATATTGGAAAAAACATATGATCAGAAAAAAACATGAATTAACTTTCCTACCTAGTGTGTTTGTCGCAAAGTTTTTCTCCAGGCCATCCTCTGTCAGTTCTCTCTGACTGACCATGCAACCAGCATTATTGATCTACAGTAATAAATCACATGAAGATAAAAGACAAAGGGCTGAACAATAGAAGCATGACAATGTATGTCACAGTCAAAGCAGTTGTAAAATGACCATAAACAGACATGACTGTACATGCTATATTAATTATGCCATGCTACTAATGGAATATATTACTTGGGGGAAGATGAAATATC